TATCTATTATTGTGTGTGTGTGTGTGTGTTTGTGTGTGTGTGTGTGTGTGTGTGTGTGTGTGTGTGTGTGTGAGAGAGAGAGAGAGAGAGAGAGAGAGAGAGTCGACCCTACCAAACCGCACACGTCTTGAGTTGCTCTTCAGAAAACGAATGAGGAAGAGGGTCGAGAGAAAGTCGAAGCTGATCCCCTTTCAGGTTGTATACGATGATCCCAACACAGCCATGATAGGGATCTCAAAGCGATTGTGCTACTATGGGAGTTTCAGCAATGGCAATGTTAATCTGTTGATCCAACGCTCCCTTTGCTGCGAAGCGGCACCAGATTTTGGGACCATTACCCAACTTTGGTGTTGGTGTTGGGACAACGTCCAGCGACATAAATCGCCAAATCCAGACCGCTGTCCCGATAACACCCAACTTTGGAAATAAGAACTGCCACAGGCCAGAAAAGCCTAACAAACCAAAATAGGCCACAAGAAAAAAATCATAATGGACAGAAAAGCCCGGTTTCCAGCAGGTGCAGCTCCCCACCAATAGATTAGAGTCATCTTCTAAGGCGGTTACCATACTATTAGTGGGGGATGCTCCTATCACCTCCACTAATAGGGCTCACTTGGATGTTTCCAAAAGAAAAAAGAAAAAAAAAGAAAACTTAGGGCCTTGTTGCACTACTCGCCATCCACCAAGTTTTGTAAGGCTCGGAGCAGTTGATAGAAGCGCGGGAATTTCCTTTCACAACATCCCAAACTGAAAAAAAGAATTTGCCACCACCTCCATAGCTGGTTGCAAAATGCCCTTGTCCGCGGCTGGCTAGGCCACAGACATTTGATACCCCGTTTGCTACTTTTGCTACTTTCCGTGCATCTTCCGACTGGCCCAACCATCAATTTTTTGTGATTTTGCCATAAAGGCCCTAGCGTCACTGTGTCGAAAGTGCAAGTTTTTTTTTTTTTTAAGACTTAGTAGACCATGGTAGGCTTTGTGATATGAATCTTTGGTCTCTACGTCCCAAATGTCTTTTATTCTTATGACGCGCTTCCTGATCCATCCTTTCCATGGGTTTTCATTACAGTGTAGCATATATCCTTGGGAGTCCCTTATCCATACATTGTTGAAGATAGGCTGTCGGGAAACCTCCTCCCATCTTTGGGGAGGATGCTTATCCGGTAGGGGAAGCTTCCTCCATGTTTTGATGATAGTAATCTAAAAAGGATCCTTACTAATATCTTGTTTAGCGACCTCCTTATCTATAGGATCCTGAGCAATCTGGTTCCTCGAGCCACCTCTGGGGATGGGCCGTGCCCTGTTTTCTAACCACATTGTCGGATCTGGTGGAGGAAGCCAATCTCCTAAGTTGCTCCCATGCTAGGGCACTCCACGGAGTTTGTGGGTTGAATAAAAGCCTCTTGATCCACAATATTGAAAGAGTCATGACTTGTATGCAGGGTTGTTAGGCGGGGGCCCCCGGGGGCAAAGCCGGGGTAGGGGTTCGGCCCCCGGACCCCCGCCGCCGGGGTGCCCCACCCCCGCCC